CTCAAGTGAATAATGACCAGTCATTGGTCATTTAAAAATATGAAATGACTTGTAGAGTCATTTAAAAATATATACTATATTTGCGCATAATAACGCATAGGGAGTAATTTCGAATTTCGGCCTAAATTAAGTTTAATTCGGGCCATTACTCGAAATAACACCCCGGTACGCTATTATGCACAAATACAGTAATAGATACAAACAACAAGAATCCTTTAATAATGTGCAGTGCTTTTAAAATGCAAAATGTCTGCAACCGGGTATTTTTTAATCTATATAATTTGTTTTATGTCCTGAGTTTTTAATCTGCGCGATACGAATAGTATCATTGGGGTATTTGGCCAGGGATACGTAAAAATTTCCAAATTTTTACATGTATCTGATTTGGACCGGTGGTTATTAACTCTAAATTTTGTTATATACATATATTTAATTTTTTACTTATAAATTAACGTTAACTACAAGACCACACTAGCATATTCGTGCATATTTATTTATTTATTCATGCCTAATTCAAGAATTATATAAGTATTTATATTTCAAATACTATTTATTTATTTGTGCTGATCAAACTTTAATGAATCATTAAAATTCTTAAAATGCGAATGAAACGGGTGCTTCTAAAGAATCATTGAATAAATCCAATAAATTCCATTTTGCCAACGGATCATCCGCTGGATGAGTAATACGTCCACCTAATTCAAATTCAAGTGTTTCATTACTTGAAGATTCATTCTGATCGAAATTATCTTCATCATCTACAGTATTAGTCCAATTTTCCACCATATTTAACCAACTCTCTTCGCTAAAAACGTCAGGATCATCGTTTACATCTTCAGCCGTAACCTCTGTCATTTGAGAGATTTCACTTAACTGTGAATTTTCAGAAACAAACAAATCATTATCCTCATTGTCGCTTGTTAATTCTTCTTGTGTAGTGCCTTGGTTATCAGAATTGTAAGGTTGAATAGGAGTTGCAAGCCGGATTCTTTTATGTTTTTGTTCAGCCTCTTCAGCTTCGTTACATCTTCGCTTGCTTAATATATCGCCATGCAATTGGCTCATAGCAAACACCTTGTCATGCTTAAATTAATAAACTTAACAGAATTAGCAATATAAAATTATAAACAGATTACAATAAACTAAATAATGTTTACATACCGGCATGCGATTTTGGCACTTCGTATGTAAGAAACCCATCGTTGACCATAAACATTCCACCGAAGCAGAATTGATACAAATGCCAAACAATTGCAAAGCTAGTCGAGATAATTCGGGTGCTAAACCTTTTGCAGAATCCCAAAAATCAATAATATTTCCATTGAATTGGTTATATGTTTCCTTATTGAAAGGAAATACTTCCCTTTGATATAACAAGAATTCACGCAAAATACATATTGGTACTTCACCAAACCAAGCATGATAATAGTAATTTAACCATTGACCGAAGTGAGAGTAAGAAAGACCAGAAACATTGGAAGAAAATGTTGAGAGTCGATATTTTGGATGTAAGACAAATGATAGAAGGAGTAAGGGTTGTTCCCATTGGGCCCACCGTTTTTCTAATCGTGCGACTATGTGTTCAGAAAAATCTTCATCTTTACAGTCTGCAAAAGTTTTAATGAGACATCCGAAACAATGTATAATTTCAAAAAGTCTTGCAGCGTTTTTCTGAAGCTTATTTAGTATTCCACATAGTGGAAATAGTAAATTTTGAAGTTCATAGAGCTGAACCCAGAAATTAGAATCTTGTATTATAGATATGATGTCAGGTGAAAGCATTTTGGTTGCATTCGTATTTTCTACAAATCTTTGCCGTGATCGTCCACTTCGAGAAATACTTGCTGTCCCAATTCTTGTTGGAGAAAATTTTGTAGCCAACATCTAATAAAAAAATTAATGTAATTTATTAAACTTTACTTATACATTTTATACATTTAAAAATCTACTTACTTTAAGTGCAGATTCAGTTTTTAATACAGAATAAAAGCAAAAATAAAAACTGTTCCAACGCGTTTCGGCTGGAGTTGCAAGAGAGATCGTTTGTCCGTAACAAGATACTTGTTCATTTCGTAATAATCCGGTAAAATATGGGGAAGAATGAAAGTAGCTTACAATACGTATTGTATTTTTTGATGTTGTTTTA